CTGAACCTTAGTGGGACCTGGGACCTATTGAAGTGAGGAGGGACCAGGAGTCCCAGTTTCAACCAGAACATTAAAGGTGTTAAGTGTTGGGCAGGTACATTCATAGACCAAATACCTCTTCCTTTCTGGCTGCAGCATGACAGTGGGAAGGTGTGTTTGTACCTGTGTTTGAACTGACCTATCCCCCATCTGCTGCTTTCCATCCCTCCATGCTCCCCCATCTACCCTCCCAATTCCCTGCTGTAAAATGGTAGAGAAAAAAAACAGTAGGAAAGGAAGACTGTTAAAGACAAAATTATTATTTGCCTGTGTTAGTGAGAAAGACTTTCTCCTTCCATTTCCCTTAACTATTGATGCTTGTCATATGCTGTAACAATAACATTGGACAGGACAAAGAAATAGAAAGGGAACTCTGGAGGAAACACTTCTACATCTTCTAGGGAATGTATGTCATATTTTGGCTTTTTGACATGCCCATTTATTTCACAGCATCCCAGTCATCCATATCCTTCCTGTTAGAGTTCCTTCAAGTGCAGCCTACCAGTACACACCCACCTACTATCCATTACTCTCTTCCTCTGCTTCCGGTATTTAAAAGTAGCAAAGTATTAAACCTGATGATTCTAATCCTTGTGTTTGCAACCCCATTCGCACTCCTTTTGGAAGTGCTATAGCATGACCACAGTTTCACAGCTGAAGGTGCATGTTGGGATAAAGACAAATCGACGGTATGAAACTGGGGCCTCGAGGAAAGGGCCTATTTTGCTGGAACTCAAGAAAAAGACTCACTTTGTGAACTAATAGCTTTTAGGCTCTCATCAAAGGAATATCATACATCAAACTGAACCCTTTCAGGAAGATTGGAGGTGGGTAGCTATTCCACATCCAGCCACTTTCTTTATTAATTCTGCACATTTCTGCAGTCACCAGTGATGCATTAGAAGACACTTGCAAAGGATCACAGACCTGATACAATATTAGATAAAAATTACAAGTGAGAAGCTATTTTATTGCTATTTATTTTCATCAGCTTAGCATTACTCTCCTAAATGCCATTCTAGTTTGGTCGATATTGGCTTTTCAGGCTGCTGAGAACTTTTGTAATTCTTTTTTGTTCATAGCTTATGTCTAGAAATCAATACTAGTTTGCCATTTGTTGAAACTGAAATAGTCACATTAGGAGTAACATATGCCTGATACCTCCTTGCATTCTATTCTCAGTCCCTCAGCAGAGTGAGAATTGGATTAATTTCTCAGTCAATTTGATATCTAATAATTAAAAACAGTTATTTCCACATCCCACACACATTTTCTTATTAACCTCACTCTGAAACATAACCAAAGTGAGCAGAAACAGATATGGCTGTGAGTCTTCCTTCACATCACTGGTGTCAAAGGGAATCTTTTTGTTTGATTAAGGAAAGCTGGGAGAAATCCTGCCCTCAGCCTGCACATGTAAAATACCCTGAATGTTGGTCAGTAGGGAATTAAGCCAACTAAATATCTTCTGCTTCAGTGCTGTTATTGAATTGTTCTGTATTATTCTATTCCTGAAAGTTTAATGGCAAATGTGGATTTTATTTTTTATAAATATATCTGCAGTAACTGTAAAATAAGCTTTAAAAATTTTGACTTTTTAGGGGAAGAGAAGAAGATGAAAGGGAATGTCTTACAGAGCATTGGGGCTTGGCCATGAAAAATACAAATCAAAGTTTCTAGCCCATCTCCTTCAAAGAACAGGCTTGAACTGAAAGCATATCAGAGCCCTAACAAAGAATGCAAGTCAGTGAGGATTTAATTATTTATACAGAGTAGAAGATACCAATGTAATCACATATAAAATTACCCCAAGGCTTCATGGGTTACAGTTGTCCATTCCAAATGTGAAAGAGGACAACTTCACATAATAGCCTACAAGCTAAGACACTTCATGGTGTCAGGGGACTCTTGCTCACACATCTGCTTTAAAATAAAGGAAAAGAACCCCAAACTATCATGTTTTCCACATCCCATTGACTCCAGTCACCTAGGGATTTGGCTTCTCTTTTGATCAGAATTTGTGCTCACACCACCGGAAACAGAGATTTCACTGTTTTTTTGGTAAGTCAGTAATGGTTAGCTACAAAATTTGCAGACCTGAGATCTCCTTTTCTGGAAATCAGCTGGAAATCCGTTACCAGCTTCTAAAAATAACTGCAAAGAGTTCCGCTTTGGGTGTTTCCGCATCACAACCAATTCTCTTCATATCTTGCCTTGCAAGGAGCAAATCCTACCGAAAAGCCACAGTTTACTGGCAGTGCGATGTCTTAACAGCCCTTGAACTGTTCCTGGTCTGAGACTGCCACCTAGTGTCCTTATGACAGACTGCGGCTTCTTTGGGGAAGGAAATAAAAGTACAATGCATTTGTTTGTTCACTTCTGTAATTACATTGTCATAAATAATTCATCTCCTGAGACACATACACAAATAGAAGAGAGTCTGAAGGCCACACAATGCTATCTTTCTTTCCCACTTGAATTAGAATAGAAAAGTCAACTGAGCTTATAGTCTCAGGGAAAAAAAGCACTGAGCTGGTTTAATAATAGCTCTCACAGGAATCCTAAGTGATGTTTGGTTTCCATAATTTTCTTCCAAAGGTCTAGTAAAACTGACAACACATTAATGCTCTTATTAGCACACCTGGGGATATTCAACAGAACTAGCACAGATGAAGTGTGAAAGCTCAGTGCTTCACAGGGCATCTTTTACTCCCTTGGGAACAACTTTCACTCTCCTTGGAGAAGCTCGTAACAGTTCTGCCTGACCAACCACACTTCAGGACACTTCACGCTTCCAGATGTGGGGGTGATAAGCATGCTTAGAACCTCTCCAAGATGTCAGAAGAGTCAGTTTTCCTCTAAGATGGGTCTCCCAAACCAGGAGCCTTCTTTGAGCCCCAGCCCTGCTGCTCAGTTGCCCTGGCTGCTTAAGTGAGGAGCTGTGACCTCAGCAATATTAACCTAATTAAGTGGCACTTTGCCTGCTGTGTCCACCCTGAAAAATCGAGTTCAAAGAGATATGAAATGTTTTTTGAGCCCTACAGGCTGCCTGCAGGGAAAGATGACTATTCTAGCTAGGTTGCTGCAGGGGAGTCTGGAAAACACAGTAGAAGCCACTGAAATACTGAATGATTAAAAAAAATAAATATATAAATAAAATAAACACCTTTCCCAGCTTTTGACTTGAGTTACTATTCACTATTTTCTATACTTTCCAAAATAATTTCAAAACAAAAGCCACAATGATATGTTCCCCTTTGACCTATGAAAATTCTTGTGCTTTTCCAATGTAAGTTGCCTTAAAATCTTGCCATTCCCCCACTTCCAGTTTCAATGTGCTGTTAACAGCATTTTCAAATGGAAAACTCTTGTATTGGGGACTGTTGAAGCAGCTCTGCTTTATTGCAGACACTGAATGAGCTGTGACAGACTTGCACCATGCCAGGCTCATTATATATGTCTTGCACTGAAAACTCTATAGTTCAGAGAAAACCTTTAACCCACTGACAGCAAGAAGAGCCCTTACAATGCTTTTGATGCTGAAACCGTCATGGAAGTCAATTTAATTTAAACTGAGAGTAGATTTAGGTCAGACATCAGGAATATATTATTCACCATGAGGTAGTAAGACACTGGAATAGGTTGCCCAGAGAGGATGTGGAATGTCACTCCCTGAAGGAGTATAACACCAGGTTGGATGAGGCTTGTGCAGCCTGGTTTAGTGGGAGGTATCCCTGCTCATAGCAGGGAGGTTGGAACCTGATGATCTTTTAGGTCCCTTCCTTCCAACCTTAACCATTCTATTCTATTCTCTATCCCATGGAAGGGACCCCATGGTGGTGGGGGGAGGTCTTCCCTGAGAAGAAGGGAGCAGCAGGGAACAACAGACTGTGCACAGACTCTAAACCCCATCCCCTGTCCCCCTGTGTTGCTGGAGTGAAAGAGGGAGAGAAATTGAAAGCAAAATCATTTAGGCCCACGAAGAAGAGAGGGGTAAGGTATTTAAGCCCTGCTCTTTGTGTTGTCTGTGTCCTGTGTGCATTTGATTAATGTGAAAGTATTCTTTTTCCCTAAGTTGAGTCTGTTTTGCCTGGGACTGTAAATGGTGAGTGTCCTTGTCTCGACCCACAAGTGTCTAGTTGGCCTTTGTCCTCCCCAGCCCAGTGCATGCACAGGGAAGGCAGTTGAACAGCCATGGGGCTGGTTCCTTGTTGTCATGTTAGGCCCAAACCACAACAAATTTCTTCAAAGAAGAAACATGAAACTTTTCTGAGTAGTAAGATAAAAAAGTTTATTGTTTTGCTTTCACTTTCCTCCTTGCATCCTTATGCTTCTTCCGGCACTCCTGAAAATATTAAAAAATTGACATAATGAGAAGTTTCTGAATTCTTGTTTGTCTCAGACTCTTGTTTCACGTGCAGGAAAGTAACTGGTCCTGCACAATGCTGGGATGCAGTTATTTCCCTGGCTGGACATGACAACAGGACATGATGCACACTTTTATACTAAAAATGTTTAGTTCTCTGGTAATGGTCATGTTTCAAGCCTTCCACAAGGTCCTGAATTAATTTTTAACACGCACGCAGCAAACAAGCAGCCGTGTTCCCTCCTCATGCTGAACTTTCGGCCGCAGTTCCGAGTCACAGACGTTAAAGGACTCACCTCAATCAACACTCTACGTCTGTCTTCCCAACCATCTCTTTCCTCACTGAGATCTGCTGATCTACAAAATAACTTGGGGCCTTCTGCACAAAACAAAGACCAAATTAATATGGTGAAACACTTGTAAAAATGCTGCTGTTTGTAAATCTCATGTCCATCCCATCTCAGCAATGAGGCAGGAAGGCGGCTTCTCCAAATTCCTCTCTTGCCCCCATGACATGGTTGACTCAGAACAGAAATGTTTGGTATTAGAGCCTGGCCTATCAAGGAGAATGAAAGACAACAGTTTTTCTCAAGATGCTGAAATACAGATTGCAGTGAAACAGCATGTTTCATGAAAAGCTCAGCACCATTATCCCACATCTCCCAAGGAATGTAATTCCTGCCACAACTTGTAGCTGAGTTCTACTGGGCAATATAACCTAGATAAGATGGAAGATTATAGTGCAATAACTGTATTAACACATTAACTTTTACATGTGCATTTAATGATAGTTACCTAACATGTCTCAGGACACAAACATTTAAGTCTGTCCTGATAATTTGTATAAAATATCAAAAGCAATAGTTTTGGTAGCCTGGGGAGAGTTTTTTAATTTTTTTGTGGGTTTCTATGTTTTGGTTTATTATTTTGTTTGGTTTGAACTATGAAATTCATTATATACACAAGAAAAAGCGCTACACAGTTTAGGATCAAGAACCATGTAGGCATTAGGTCGCTGGTAAGAATATTCATTATTCATAACACTAGCACCAGAAATACAGAAAAAGAAAAAGATCATATATATGCCTGAAAGGATCAAAAAATGTCCAAAGATAATTTGTCAAGTGATTTTTTTTTTTTTGTAAGCCTTACAAGACCAGCCACATTAGGCAATTATCTGAAAACAGGAAAAAAAAATAGCTGCTCAGTATTTATTTTACCAGGACTTTTTTGTGGGACGTGCTACCACAATCCATTCCCCTCTTAAGCATCTCATCCGTGTTTTAACTACAAAACTTTAGGAACCAGACAGTATTTCATTCCAGTAAGAGTTAAAAAAAAAAAGGGGGGGGTGAATAAGTTCTGTTATACCTCTTAGTCGTTCGTCATCTTTGGAGAAGAAGAAAAATCTCACAGTTTGTGTCTGTGGCAAAGAAACAAACCTAGACAAACACAAAGGAATTTCAGCATCATAAAAGTTACTGTCAAATTCCATTTACACAAATTAAAGCTGCAAGGCTGCAGAGAAATAGCATGCATTGAAGAACGTTACTCCACACTAACCAAATAGAGCCTTCTAGAAAAAAAGTTTCTAAAGAAAATTTAATCTACATTTGACATTTGGCTAAACCCCCTACTCAGCTCAGTTTTCATGCAATCAACTAGAAACTCAGATTTTACATCCAACTTCAAGTGTGCTATTAGGATTTTTGACTACTACACTCTGTGCAGCAAAGAATGGTTTCCAAAGAAGACTTTCACTGGCCAGAGATGTGGAATGAAGATGTTAGTCTCCCATAACCTGAGCACTGCTATCAATATTCTCATAGCATCAAAGTACTACCACCAAGTAGACAATAAATACAAATACAAACTTACATTTCTTTGTTCCATTCACTTTCTGATGCCTCTGGTTCATCATCACCCTCAGAACTGCTGTCTCGGAAACGTGGATCTTCTTGCCATGTGACTTTTACAGGTTTTATTGTTTCAATTACGTAGGGCTCTGCAATAATAAAATCAATTAAAAAAAATAATCAGATTATTCCCCTACTTGCCAGTAAAAATTTCTACTTCACACTGAAATACCTTATTTGGAAAATAGATTTGAGAAGGATAGAAACCTCCCCTCCTAGGTTTTCTATCCTACTCTGGGCAAATATTAATTCAATTCAGTGGTGTATAAGCTCAGGACTTGTCTGGATGACCAAAACTGAGATGACAGCTCAGGTACTGCCTCTCTCTGGCAAGATCAAGCAGTTTCCAAACCCAACTGTAACCAGACTATGAAACACAAACAGTCTTAAATTATTTAAGAGAAAGATCAGAACATTCTACTTCATTAAAAGTGAGCTATTGCAAGTTTACCTTCTTTCATGCGTGACTCCTCCATGTCTTCAAAGAAGGAAAACTTGAAATAATCAGACTCCTGATCTTCCTTACTGCCAGCATTAGGTCCCGAAGAGTCAGGTTGGGTAGGGTCCTCTGCAGTGGCTTTGTCCCAGGGTACTTCTTGATTTGTTTCTGATTTGCTCTTTGAAGAGCCAAACAACTCTTTTAAATCAACAGCAATATCATAGTATGTTTCTTTCGACACTTCAGGGAGTTTTTCACTCTCTTCCCTCTTCTTCTTCCTTTTAGCTTTACTGAAACGAGATTGTGAAGGGATAGTAACACAGCACACACTTTTCTAAAAGAAAGGCTCCCTAAGAGGCAATCTTGCTATTCATGTCTTAGCAGTCTGCATAGCTTCAAATTCAGGTCGTCTCCTATAGCTGCCTTTCCAGGGGAAGAACCTTCACAATTACAGTTACCAAGCTGCAGTGTTACCTCTCTTTTTCTGTAGCACTTGGTTTCCTTTCAAAGACTGCGTGGTCCTGTCTTGTGGGATCGTAGCGGAGGGCATTAATATCTCTGTAAACACAGGAAGGAAAAGGAAAGCCATGAGACATTCCAAATGCTCAGCTGAAAGCTACCCCAAACCTTAAGAGTCAGACTCAAACTCACATTGACCAAAACAGCTCCAAATCAATCCAAAACCTAACTGGTATTTGGAAAGTACCTGCTAGTCAGTGTCAGGAAAAGAGATAAACAGAAGTGGCTTTAATAAAATTCTAATATTTCATATAAAACACAGACCTCAAGTTGTGTGTGTTATGCAGGAAGGTTATACCTGCATCTGTTTCTCTTTTGAGAAGCTGTATCAATACAGCTATTCATCCCCATTTACTCATCTATATATATATTTCTTCTGGTACCAGACATGGAATAAATTAAGAAAGTGCAAGGAAAAAAACCAACAGAACAAAGCAAGAAGAACAAACAAACCAAAAGCCATTATGCCCACCTTCCAAAATTTAAACATTTCAGGGACTATCAGCTACAGCATCTTAAGGTTTAGACTGACTCAAATATTAGTGTGGCAAAGCCCACACTGCAAGAAGGTGATCACTTATTTTCCCCCTTCTTCCTAAATTAATCCTTGCAGCATAAATTAACTACTTTTAAATGGTCCCCTGCTATATAGTTAACTGAAGAACATTAACTAAGGAACAGACCTTCAGAAAACTTTCTTAAGACAACCTCTGGGGTTGCAGAAGTTATTTCCCCCTCTGCTTACTCTTTAGAAGATGCATGAAAAGTTGAACAGAAGCCCTAGAATCAAGTATGATTGTGCAGCAGTCACACTGGTATTTAGCAGTCAGCAGCAATCGATGCAACTCCTAAAATAATTACAATTACCAGTAGGATGATCTATTCAGATACTCAGGCTGGAAAACTGCATTAAAGACTGACTTCAAATGCACACAACCAAGAGGGAAAGACTTTTCTCAGTCAGCTAGGCAGAAACTGTACTTGTGAAACACTCGCAAAAATTCAGCCTTCCTGCAATTCCTTCTTTTCCGATAACAGAGGATGCGTACTTGAATTTCTTAGCACTTGCGGCTGGTTTAGTTGGCTTATGGTGTTCCAAGTTGACATTCAAGAGGCTTCCCAGTATTTGCAGATTCTTCTTTTTCTCTGCAGCAAGTTCCTCCTCCTCATCTGTCTTCAAGGCATTTGTCTCTGCTAAGAAACAAGTAAATACATTTTGTTTTCCCTGTTCTGATGTAAGCAAGCCTTAATATTTGATATACGACCTTGCTGTAGCACTAGAAGAGCTCAAACCTATCAACATATCACTTCCCTCATGTTAAAGCTACGTTGAGGGTTTTTTCCTTGCACTATAGAAAATCTTTGATTAGAAATATGACAGGCATCTATTTCATGTGAACATTAGAGCAGTAATTTGCTACCACTAACTAGGAACCAGGAGCAAGTTTACCTTCCTCCCCACTGTCACTTTCAAGGAATCGAGCATCCATGCGAAATCTTTCATCTGTGCCAAATCGTGACTGCAGTCTCAAGAGCTAAACAAAACAAAGCAGACACTGTTAAGCCCTAGAGAAGAAAATCAATGTTAATTAACTTTTTTTTACTGTAATTATGGCAACATCCTAATAACCTTTAGCTCCTAATGCCTTTTCCAGAAATTTCTTTGTATTCCAAAATGACAACATCAGAGAAACTTTTCCCACTGCCCAAGACACAGTATCCTCATGGCTGCTCTTCCTCTATGAAAGAGAATTCTATTCCAAGTTTGTCAAACTCATATTCAGCAAGTATGCAAGCCTACACCTTATGTTCTCCTGAGGTGGCATTATGGAGACCTAGAAGAGAATAAAATTACAGTAACAAGCTCACTCACTTTTTCACCAGCTTTGCCTTCAAACTGGGGTTTAATTTTGAATCTCTCATCATCTGCGTCATCTTGCTCATCCTCACTGCTTTCAAACAGTCTGCTTGAAGTTTTGGGAGCAGGTTCATCCTTGTTAAACAAGAAGAAAATCAAGAAAAGCAGGTCCTTTACATGACATTGAAAAGATAAATCAGTATTAACTTTGTTCATGTACTTTCCCATTTATCTGAAAAAACAGATTTCTAGAACAACCTGCTCACTTACTGATCCATGTATTTCTGTTTCATACACACCTTGTAAAATTCTGTGTTACAGTTATGACTATACAATTTTAGCATAAGCAAATTATCCATGTAAAGGGTAACTCAGGTTTTACAATATGAGGGAGTCAGGTATAAAAAAAACAACTTTCTGATTACCTCAAGGGAGATCAGTTTAAAAATATCAATGTGTCATTATACTCTCTGAACAAGCCTCATTTATGGCATAAACTCTAGGAGATTACTGTCATCAGTTAATCAATGTCAATGATTACAACAGGTAAGCACGTGGCTTGGAAACAATTTTCCATAGAATCAGAGGTTCTTTTGAAGAAAAGGGAAAACACAGGGCAAGGATTCTAAATACCAGGTGAGAGAGATTTAAGTAAAAAAATGCTAAACATGAGGAAAAGTGAGAAAAGGAGAATGGTCCTAATCTTACTATGTTTATGAAGAAAAAAAATCCAATAAAAAAGAAATTATTTCCCTAATACTTACTTCTTCATGCTTCTCTCCCAAACTCTTCCCTTTCTTCAACACCTCATCTCCTTCAGCTTCACTTTCCACATCTGAATTGAATATGATGTGTTTATGCTTGCCTGCTGGCTGGCTATCCTAGGTAAGAGTGAAACTGTCAAGTCAAACAGATTAAATACTTGCTGCAGTCATACATAAGTATCTAAAAGCTGTTCCCATGACATTAAAGGAAGAATCTACTATTGCTCTTGCAACTCCAGAAACATTCCAGGTATTGGGTATGCATCATTTTGTATAGACTCATAGGAAAACTGGCAAGGGAATCCGAAACTCCAGAATATGCTTTTAAAGTGTCTTAAAGCACATTGATTTCCCTTTTTCTTTTACTGCACACTATTCAGATAGAAGTTGTGAGTGTAATTACCAGATTTGAAAGAGCTCCTTGAATGAGTTTCTTCTGTAATTCTCTCTCTTTCTGTCTCTCTTCTAGAGCTGCCAGCCTCCTCTGGTTATCCTGGAACTGTTTCTTTTCTAAATCAGGTCCCTTTGAAGCAGTAACCTGACGACAAAGCTCCTTAGTTTCCAGCAGGCTTGTCTTCCCATTCTCACACTTGTTAGTTTCACGTTCGGGATTTGTATTGCTTACATCTCTCTTTAATTTTTTGGAAAGCAGTTTTGGCCTTTTCAGTTGCTTAACATGTTTCTGTGGCACTGTAGCATTCCTATCCACATCACTGCTCTCGTCTCCACTCTCATCAGTACTGGGAACAGCAGCTCCACGCTCTGAATTTTGGTCTTCTGGTAAAGAACTTGTGTCTTTGCTCCTTCCTTGTAAATGAGGCCTGGAACCAGGCTGATTGCTCTCAGCTGCTAAGGAAGCAAAATCTGACAATTCCTTGTGCGGTTCACAAGGCATATTCTGTCTCTTTTTACTACTGATTTCCTGTGGACACAATGGATGCTTTTTAGACTGTCTTTTAGATGACTCCTCCCCACAGTAAGAAATACAAGTTTCAGGACCTAAACTTTCTGCCAACACCTTCTTTGAACCGCTGCTCTCCTTAGTTACCTCTTTTTCACAAAGGGACCCAATTCCTCTGAAAGGCTGATATTTCAAACACGAGTTATTTTGTCCCTTGGAGCCTTCTTCAGCAGCATTGTCCTCCCCAGCTAAAATTGCAGCAACTACATCTTCAGGACAGATACATTTTTTTTTAACTGCAGGGTGGATTTTAGAAAGTTTTGGTTTATTTACAACATTACCCTTAGGATTTTCTTCAACACTTTGCTGACTAGAACTCAGTGCACTATCTGATTCATCTGCTGGTGCCCCAACGTTTTCAGTAGCTAATGCTTTTAGGTCATCTAATGTAAGGTCCAAGCGGTAACAGTTTTGCATAAGAGACTCATAATCAGAACTAATTTCAGAGTCCCCTTTCTCAGCCTCTGAGTAAGAGCTTTCACTATCACTTGCCTTTGTTGAGCTCTTAACTGCTGTACTTTGCAAGACAGAGTTGGTTTTTTTTTTAATTTTCCCTTTCCTTCCAATATATTCTTTTAAATGGTGAGGTTTCTGTGCAGAGTCATCCACTGACTCACAGGTTTTGGTAGTTGGCATTTCTTTATTTTCCAGCTTCACCTGTTTAGAATCTTCTAAAATTGTAGTTTTCCTGCTACTTAGATCTGGAGTTTTACTTTCAGCAATAATTTCATCTGTATCTGCTGAGTCATAACTGTTGTCACATTCCACAGTCTCTTTCTCTCTGTTACTTCCTTTGATGGCTTTCTTTCTAGCATCTGGATTGCTTAAGGACCAGTGACTATTATATTTTAATTCAAAATTATCCCCAACAATTTCCAAGTGGTCACTTTCAGTCTCAACATTTTCAGCTTTCTGCATTCCTCTCTCTTTCTCTACCATTGCTCTGATTTCCTCTTCAGAATCAACGTCACTGTCACAAACACTCCTATGATTTTGAGCTGTAACTCCAGAAATGTTGCTTTTATCTGATACTAAGCCCCTCTCTGATATTTTACTGGAAAGAGCACTTGACAGAGGCAATTTAGACTTCTCATTGGGTTTGGATTTTGACCTTTCATCTAGCTGCGCTAAGCTTCTGTTTTTTGAAGGTGACTGGCACCCAGAGGAGAGAACTACTGCTCCATTCAGAGCCTCTCTGCCCAGTTGCCTCAGTTTTTTAGGTGGCTGTTTTGCCCCGGGGAGCTCTCCTGGCCGCTTCCTGTGCATGACGCTGCCATCTCCCCCTTCCAAGCACCAGGTGAGCTCAGATATAGGAACTTCACGTGCCAAGTCTGGCTCCAGCTTCCTGAGGTTATGGCAATACTTTGATGGGTCATATTTCACAATGTTAGTCTGAGTTAAGGAATTAAAATAACACAATTCTTTCAGCAAGTAGACTTTCAGTCTTTATGGCTAAATTCTGCATGAGAAGACAGCAAAGAGTCCTTTTTAATGTCACAACCATAAGCCTTTAGGCAACTGACTTCCAGTCTAAATTATATTCAAATCACACAAACTTACTGCAAGATTTACTCAAGGGATTCAAGAAATCACCTATGACATAGTAGTCTAGATTAAAGCCACTAAGCAAATGCTTCCTTATATGAAGAAAGAAAGAAGGGAACTGTCCTTCTGGAAAACCAAAAAGAAAAGGATATTTTATTTTTCTGTTGACTCCTAAGGTGTAGGACAGGTAGGACTCTGCCAAATTTACCAACAATCCATTTCTAAAAAAAAAAAAGAAAATAATTAGTGTTAAACAAGAAGGGAATGGACGTAACTCTGGAATAAAACAAGATGTGTATTCTCTGGTAACAGAAACACTAACAGAGAACTATCTGTGGCTAATTCTTTTTATGTTTATGCACTTAGTGAGACCTATTTATACTGTGCAACTTAGCCAGCTTCCTTCTCAAAAAAAGAGCAAACGAAAACCAACCAAAGCCCCAAATTTCTACAACCTTGCAAATAAAAAGCTATATTAAATAACTGAATTTCTTTACAAGTACTATTTTTTATATCATGTTTCTGGTTTATGAATTATCAGTCTCAACTATACAGATCAGTATTCTTTTGCTGCTTTCCCCCTTACCACTAAAAAATTAAAGTCTCCCCATCACCCTCCAAAACGTTCTGTGCTTAGACAATAATTTGAAAACTTTGCAATAAATATAGGTTTTGTTGCCTAAATTTGCACATTCAATGATTTTACTTTAAATCTTAACTTTTGTAAGCATGTGTAGACCCTGATCCTGAATGTGGTGAAGCACAGAGATGAGTGCTGTCAAAAACGTATATGCTGTATAAAAATGAGACACACATTCTCTTTACATGCCTTTCAGGGTGAAACAAAGATACTCCCAACACAAAAAGGCAACAAAGCATTTACTATCTACAACAAAGAGGATAGCAGGATCAAGATTATTTCCAGTCATTACAAATAATGACAGGAGCATTCTACATGCTCACACATTTCTTTAGACTACCTTCCACAAGCTGCACTGTCACACTTAATAAAGATTTCTTTACATCAAGTGTAGAGATTTGGCATAACTTTAGATGTAATAAGCTTGCACCTCATTATGGTTTTGTGGGTTTTTTTGTTTCAGTGCTCTATATGTACCCACCCCACCATACCTTATGGTCTGGCACCTCTGTACCTGGCACTGCTTTCATCTGAAAGTCTACAACTCCAGCTTTTTTCAGTGATTCCAACAGACACGTTTTGTCATGTCTCTGTGGCTTTTCTTTCTGCAGCTTTGCTTCCTCCCTCTCCATGGCGAGCCTGCACCAAAAAGTACATTGTACATGAAAAAAGATCTGCCTGTCCCTAAATTATAGTTGGCAGTCACCCTTTCCCAGAGAACAGTAGCCATTTGCTGCTTAAGGAATTAACATATCTGCTACCTTTAAGGGAAGAATGACGCCGAACATGTTGCACTATCTAGTATGTATCGACAGCCCACCCACTGTCAGTAAAAACTAGAAAAACTAAGAGTGTAGCAGATGAAAGCACAGCCATACTGTTATCAGATAAACAGAAAAAGTAACTTTAGCAAAAATGTACATTTAAAAAAATTATTTTTACCTGTGCAAAAAGCTTTCTTTGGCCAACTCAATTTGCAGTGTCCCCCCTTTCCATTTTGTTTTATTTAAAATTGACATACCTGTAAAAAAAGGTGATGGGAAATAAATAAAAATAGACATTAGACCTAGCCCTGCCTTCTGCTTCTGTGATAGTCTGAAGTTTTTTTAGCATGACTCCATTAGTCACCTGATTTAAGTTTGTCTATGAAAGGTCTAAAACCCAAATCTTACACAAGAAGGTCTACATCCAAAATTAAAAGTTCTGATTTCAAGAGTCATTCAAGTCCATATGATTTGGTTCAAGTACAAACCCGAAAATTCAGATGCATATACCCTGAAGTTTCTACGCTAGTGTCTGAGAGGTTTTCCCCCACTTAACTGCTTCTCCACTTTAACTTTCTTAGTCCTAATGGCAGCATTCCCCAGATAAAATGATGTATTACCAATCTCTCTCTTCAGGTGTAGGTATCTCAACTTGTCATTCTGCTGCTACCTGTTACACAGGTGGTTTTATAACCCTGCCAATAGTTTTGTAGCCCACCTGTCATGGGATTTGTAAAACTGCTTTAACAGAAAATGGTTTACACAAGATCTCCTTCTGGGTTTCCTCTCATATCAAGTCACTTCTAATGTTTTATGGACGTGATGAAAGTGTTGGAAGTACATTTCCTGTACCTTTTCACAAAAAGGTTAAAACAAACTCATAGATCACCTATTTCAGCCAGAAGGCATCTCTTTAATCTGCTTACATGTACTTACTGTAAACTGCAGTAAAGCAGCTTCCAAAAAACTGCAGCTTTAAGAAGATGGAATGAACATGACAACAGAATGAAACAGGATCTACCTGAACCACAGCCTGATTTTACAACGTTAGATGCATGATCAGTGTTCTATCCTGGCTCAAAACCAAAATTATTTACAAAACACCAAAAATGTACTTACACTTCCTAAGATCTGCATCAGAAATGCTGACAGTGAGGTAAGCAAAAGTCTTCATAGGGTTCCCTGATAAACGATACACAGTTAATATCTACAGAATACCAGCATTTCCTTTAAAGCTGAAAATTAATCTATTTGCTAAAAATAGTGTCTCTGAAGCAAAAATTCCATTTCAAATTACAAATCGAAAAATGATTCAATTTTAAAGGATGAAGCAAAACTGTTACCCTGGTCATCTTTCCTGGTAATAATCTCTGCGTCCAAAACCTCCCCAAACTTGCCGAATCTTTCTTGCAGTTCAGCCTTAGAGACGGTGTGGCCGAGCCCTCCGACGTACAACCGCTTCGACACCCGCTTCTGCTCCATGACGACAAGCCCGGCTGTGTCACTTCTGCGTCGCACGCCCCGTTTTCCTGTTAAAAAACCGTCACAGTTCGGTAACTCACACCGGAGGGATGATCGCAGGCACAACACCCCATCACGGAACGAGTCGCTCCGCTCCCGTGTCAGAAAGCACCGCCCTGCTGGCAGGAGCCGGGGCTGAGGCGCTGCTGGCAGGAGCCGGGGCTGAGGCCCTGCCCGCCCGGG